TAGTAGACTCCGGTGAGCAGCCTGTGCTCACCAGACACGGCGGTGAAGATGACGGAGCCGACGCCCTTGATCTTCACGCCGGAGGCATCCCCAAACTTGACGGAGCCTCGGATGCTAGAGTCAAGCTCGGTGAAGAACTCCCGTTGACCGGTCATGTGATGGGTGGCGCCGGTGTCGAGGCACCACCCGTCAGTCTTGTCGTTGCCGGAGCTGTCGCCGAGGAGGGCGTGTGCTTTTGGCTCGTCAAGGTGGAGGAGAGCCGCTACGGCCGGTGCCGCTGAAGGTAGCTCGATGCTTGCATGTGCCATGAACAGAGCCGGCTCCTCCGCCTGTGCGACGTGGGCCTAGCCGCGTCGTGGTTGTCGATAGTCCTTGGCCCAATGGCCAAGCTGGCCGCAGTTGCGGCAGGCGTCGTCTCGTGCCGGCTTGTGCCTGCCGGCGGCGCCGCCCTGGGCGCCTCCGCGGGCATCACCCTCGGCACGTCCTCGCGCCCCGGCCTGGGCGTCTCTGCGCGCCTTGCGCGGCTTGCCACGCCTGCGGCCGCCTGTCGTGGAAGAAGGCTCCCCCTTCTTCCGGTCACCTTGGCTGGCAAGCCACTGCTCCCGAGTGAGAAGGAGCTTCCCGCCAGTGGTGATGGGCCCCGAGGGAGACTGTGGCTCATCGCTGTCGACGACCTTGAGGCGACCTATCGCCTCCTCGATCGACATCGTGGAGAGATCCAGCAAAGACTCAATCGAGCGAGCCATCTGCTTGTACTTCTCGAGGACGCAGCGGAAGAGCTTTTCGACAGCTCTCTCCTCGCCGTAGGTGTCATCGCTGAACTGCACCATCTTCTGCAGCAGAGTGTTGAGATGGAGAGCAAAGTCATCAACGTCCTCACCTGGCTTAAAGGCCAGGTTCTCCCACTCCTTGTGAAGTGCCTGTAGTGTGGACTTGCGGGCGCGGTCGCTGCCAATGCGTGACGCAGCGATGGCGTCCCAAGCCTCCTTGACAGTCCGCTTGTTGGTAAGCAAGAACTGCATCTCGGGCGGGACTGTAGCGATGAGGGCATCCTGCGCCCGTCGATCTAGGTCGTAGTTGACGTCGCCGTACCGGACTGCCTCCCACATGTGCCGCACCTGGAGCTTTACTCTTATCACCGCAGCCCACTCGACGTAGTTGGTCTTGGTGAGGGTAGGCCACCCACCGCCGGGGCCGACGTCCCTGACAACAGCCTGGAGCCCGTGGTAACCACGGTACCGATCCGAGGAGAGAGAGCCACGCTGCCTGTGAAGGCCGCGCTCTCCATCGACCCGTCGGTACCGATCCGGGGAGAGAGAGCCACGATGCCTGTGAAGGCCGCGCTCTCCATCGACCCGTCCGCCATCGTTGCCGTGCGCGCCTCCTCCAGGAGCGCCACCGCTGTGCGCGCCTCCTCCAGGAGCGCCGCCGGCTCGTCCGCGCCTGTCTGGGTTGCCGCCGCGCTCGTGGGCGTGTGCAGCTGCCCACTACGCCGCCCGCGCTCGTCCTGCCTCCCTCCCCAGCAGCTCGAGGTCCGCGTCGGCGCTATCGTCAGTAGAAACGGAGCTGCTGATGCTGCCGCGCAGGGCCTCGACCTCTGCAGCCGTCGCACGCGCTGCATCCGCCGCTGCTTCCGCCTCCACTCTGGCTGCTGCCAACCTCGACGCCCTTGCCGCCGTCGCTCGCTCGCGTTCCTTTGCCGCGGCAAGTTCGGCCTCCTGCCGACGCCGCGTGCTCGAGGCGACCGAGCGCTGAGACTGCCTTGCGGACATGACGCGCTACCGGGGGCCTGCTGCGTGTGGAGAGGGCTGCTTCAGATGTCTGCGCAGAGGGAGAGGAGTGAGCAGGAGCGGCTGGAGGAGCTGCTGCTGCCAACAGCTGGGGCTGTTGTGGGGCTGGGAAAGAAAATGAACAGGAGATGCTCAGGCTACATGATAGTATGGCTCTGATACCATTTGTTAGTCGCTGAATTCTCACTCTCGTAGTAGCAGAATTCTTACTCTCATCGAAAGAGGATGACACTAGGAGTTGGGGTAAATTTCTGGTTTATTTCTCACACAAACTCACACAAATGCCATGCCAACCTGAGGGGTTGGGGGTACATATTTATAGGCTGCTAGCCAGCCAAGCATATGCCAAGATGCTAGTCTAAGATGCTGTCCTAGATGCTAAGATGCTGTCCTCTAGATGCTAGTCTAAGATGCTGTCCTAGATGCTAAGATGCTATCCTCTAAGTCAAGGATACTGTCCTTGATGGACAGCAAGACCACCATGGTGCTGCAGCCCCACAAAGACTGCTGCAGCCCCACAAAGACCACAAAGATTTATCCATCAGATAGAACCTGAACGGTTGTCTATTTCAAACCCATTTCTTTCGGCGAATTCTGTCTTCGATTCATACAAGAATTTAGTCGAAATAGGCTGAAAAGCATGAGGTAGCAGATATGCTTCCTATTTTACAATTCCAGTTGACACAATTTGGAATAGGTTTCTTCACATCCAGATGAACTATTTCTTGAGGCCAATGAACTGCTGTTTGTTGTTGTGGCCTCTTATTACCTATACATAACACTACATCAAGGTCTTCTCCATTTGTTTTGGTTCTGTCTTGCAATAATTTATTTGCGATAGTTCATATGACTTTTCAAATATGATTCCTTGCCAATGAAACCTTAACAGTACACCAGTTTCTGTCACCAAACAAAGTGCACTCGATTTATGAGCTAATTCATTTCTTCCTTTAATTTTTGGCTGCTAATAAGTCTGTTTTCGTGTTCTCAGCATGAGGGACTCATATACCTATTTCCAAGTTGTTGACAAGGCTTCTGACATCACACCACAGTTCAGGCTTCGACAGTATTCGGACTGCAAGTTATGACAAGTACAAAGTGCCCTGAAGCTCCAGCCGTGCTGGTCTGTTCAGCTGCAATATGAGGATGAAGATGCATCTTGAATTGAGACAGGCATCACTGCATCCTGCTGACTTAGGAAGCGGCATATATTGCATTATTTCTAAAGTTACCTTGGTGCTTTCCTTCGTCGTGAAAAAAATAAGTTATATTATATCATGTACTGTGTTGGGTTTCCGGCTAGTAAAGTTAAATTTTAGCTCCCGAGACCCCAAATAGGTAATCTAAAGTATTGTTTAAAGTTTAATCAATCTCTTAAAAAGACTATTAGCTTATTAGACTACATACTAAATGGTCTAAAATTTAGACCTTAGACCATGGCCAAAATTAGGTATTGCGTGAGAGAAAAAAAAAAACTCATCGAGATTTGACTCACAACTCATGGGTAACTAGAGCTAACGTGTCATCTTGAGAGTATACTTATCTTTAAGTAAATGTCACTAGCGGTACTCGAATTTGTTCTGAGTTTTCATTTAGATCTTGGTACTTTTGAATTACATATTCAACTCTCTAAACTTGTTTCTAGTTCTTATCCTGGTACTAGTATTTATAAAATGCACGTTCAGCTCCTTGAATTTGTCTTGGGTTCTCGATCATCTTAGTTCCGTTAAGAGCAAATTACACGCTTAGGTCCCTAAAGTTGTATCATTGTACCGTTACGGTCCATCTACCCCTCCGTCCTCTACCCTGCCACGCCACACATGCTGGCCTTACCCATGTAGCCACGTAACGCTACACCATGCTCGTGCTGCTCCTGCCTCGCGCCTACCTATGTTGCATTATTGGTGGGTTTTTTTGCACCCATGTTGCCCACACTAGGCCATGTCGTGTGCAACCATGCATGCCTCTCGCGATCCACCAGGCATGCATTCCCACACTAGGCCATGTTGTGCCCGATGCGCAACATAGACAGGCACAAACCTTCCTGGTTTGATTGCTTTTATTTAGGAAAGATCCTAACTTGGCAAGCTAAATTTTGGCATAGCTTCTTAAACTACAAACCAAACTTGCCTACACACTTCATGCTCCATTTTACTAAGAAAGTTTCTTATTTGTAGACATGGCAAAAGAGATGATTAGACCATAGAGCTCCATTTCCCGTCTTATCCACTGCCATATAAAAAGTCATCATGTTAAAAAAAGTTAACGCACATTGCGCGATTTTATTGCTCTATCTTCACATGTATCTGTAACCATTGAAATTGATGGCCTAATAGTTATTTAGGTTGTCGAACGTTGCAAGCCTGACTAATATGAAAAAACACAAACTATAAATTATTTGCTTTCATCTCTTTAATCATAGTATCCTTAGTCTCTCGAGTAAAAGTCCTGCTATTAAGACCCGTTGGAATTAGCTAAGCTTTTATATAAGCTGCATTAGTTAGAGAAAGGTAGCTAATGCAAACTCATCATATATCAGCTGGTTAGGTTTTTTTGTGGTGGAACCTGTCCATCCGGGTTTAAGTCCTTAATTTGGCACGGGTGCTCGCATTTTTCTAGATTTATTTCAGTGTTTAAAGGCAATATGCTTTTAGTGGTAGGCGACATCCCCGATGATAGTGAGGCGCTAGTGGTGACTTTGTGAATCTTAAGATCTGCCGACTCAGTCCTTCGGAGGTGCTCATAGGAGTAGAGTTTGCGTACGTGTGTTCATAGGAGTGAGTGTGCGTACGTGTTGTGGGCGTCTGAGTTGTACAGTATAATTCAAAAGAGAGAGAGAGAGAAAGGTAGCTAATATAGTTCTCTATGATCTGAATTGTTTAGATCAGTTGGAGCTTTCCTTATCAGCTAACCACTTATTTTAGCCAATACAAACAGCACTTTAGACCTGGCGTGAAAAATTCTTGTCTGCGCACCATGCCGTTAGAAAAGGAAGGTTGACTTTTGGAGCTTCATACATAAGGGCAGACATGCTATAACCAAACAATAGAGGTATGAAAATGTAACAGCTCGAGACTGAACTGCGATGAGAGATTTGCGACGACCCCCCAAATGGGGAAAACCAGAGCTAATCCAACCCCCCGTCGATCTGAACTCCCTCAAATCCCGCAACCGGACCCCTAATCCCTTCCAAATCCCATCTCCGATCCAATGCCTCCCACCGGCGACGACCCATCGGCCGCCGCCGGCATCTCCTTCCCCGACGCGGATGGCGGCGGCGGCGATTCTGAAGACGGCGACTTCGCCGACGCCCACCTCCTCGACCCCACCGATCCGGGCCTCCCCAACACCACCACCTCCTCCTCCACCGGCCTGCCCCACGCGATCCCTGCGGCCGGGGGCGGCGGCGGCCCGGTCACCTCCGGCAACGGCGGGGAGCGTCGTCCCCTGTTCCAGCGCCTCTGGACCGAGGAGGACGAGATCGTGATCCTCCGCGGCTTCGCGGAGTTCACCGCCGCGCGCGGCACGGCGTTCGCGTCGCACCAGTACGACACCGACCCCTTCTACGAGGACATGCGCCGCCGCCTCCAGCTCGACTTCTCCAAGAGCCAGCTCGTCGAGAAGCTCCGCCGCCTCAAGCGCAAGTACCGCAATTGCGTCTCCCGCCTCCGCGAGTCCGGCGCCACCTTCACCTTCCGCTCCCCGCACGAGCAGGCCATCTTTGAGATTGCGCGCAACATCTGGCGCCCCACAAACAAACACGGCCGCGATCCCTCGGCCGACTCTGACGATGAAGACGCCGCCGCCGCGACACAGATACCTGCCAACACCAGCCCCAACGGAGAAGTCAAGTCCCCCTCCTCTGCACGGCAGCGGCGCCGCAGGCGGGTGACGGAATTCAACCCTGCCACTGGCGCCTCCCCTGCCACAAACATGTTGCAGCCCCCTCAGCCAGTGCAATTGTCTGTGTCAGTGCCTGTCAAGATGGATGACTCCCTCCCAGCACAGCCCCAGACTCCAATGCCAGTGATGGTGACCATGGATGGCTCAGAGCCTCTCAGGTTGCCAGTCGTGTCGCCTCAATCAGGTATTTCGGATGCTGAGAAGACTTGCCTGACTCCTCTTTTTAAGGAGATGATACGCGCAGCGATAAATGTCGGAGCAAACCCTTTTGGTGCAAAACTGCCTGAGCCGCCGCTTGGGTTGCCCATGGAAGGGGAGAAGTGGCGGAAGCAGCGGATTTTGGAGCTGGAGGTGTACTTGAAGAGGATCGAGCTGCTGCAGGATCAGGCGAAGGCAACGCTTGAGGAGCTCAAGTCCTCCACCCCTGGGACTTAATCCATGATAAGATGAGATCTCTTTCGTTTTAGGATTCTTGCTCTGATTCTTAGTGTAGATGCTTAGGCATTTTTGCATATTTTACGTCCATAAAAGAATACTGTTAACCTGGTTGGGGGCTTGGAACTAGTTTATTTATTGTTCTATATGTTCATGTGATATTAGCTTCCATTTACTTTCTTTTCGCGGACGATGTAGTGCTAGTTGATGAAAGCCGAACAGTAGTAAATCAGAAACTGGAGTTATGGCGGGAGACTTTGGAGTCTAAATGTTTTAGACTCAGTAGAACTAAAGCTGAGTATATGAGATGTGACTTCGGTACTACTACTCGGGAGGAGGAAGATATTAGTTTGGAAGGTCAAGTAGTGTCTAGAAAGGATACCTTTCGATATTTAGGATCAATGCTACAGAGAGACGGAGATATTGATGAAGATGTTAGCCATAGAATCAAAGCAGGGTGGATGAAGTGGCGCCAAGCATCTGGTGTCCTATGTGATAAAAGGGTACCAGATAAGTGTCGCGGAAATGTATATGCTGCGTTGGATTTGCGGTCATATAAGAAGGGATCGAGTTCGGAATGATGATATACGTGATAGATTAGGGGTAGCACCAATTGAAGAAAAGCTTGTCCAACACCGGTTGAGATGGTTTGGACATGTCCAACGGAGACCTCCAGAGGCACCGGTGCGTAGTGGAATCCTAAGCCAGGATAGTAATATGAAGAGAGGCAGAGGAAGACCGAAGTTGACTTGGGCAGAGGCAATAAAAGGAGACTTGAAAGAATGGAATATACCCAAAGACTTAGCCTTAGATAGGAGTGCTTGAAAAATAGCTATTCACGTGCCTTAATCTTGATTGTTTCTGTTGGGTTTCAACTCTAGCCAGCCCTAACTTATTTAGGACTTCAAGGCTTTGTTGTCGTTGTTGCTTCTTTATAACATAGGTTCATGGTCCTTTGTTTACTATGGTAGCGGTATGCTATGAGTGAACAGTAAGGTACCCTGTAGAAAGATGAATTAATGCAATTAATCTATTAAGATTACATATTATTATTATTTTTCTGTTGGACTGTTGGTTTCGTATTCACTTTTGTGTCTGTCGTCAGCGAATTGTTATGATTCATTCAAAAGTGTCAAACTGGTTTATAATATTGATGATGAATAGACTTGTTTTAGAAAGGTCATGGAGCTTGTATAGGGTAAAAGCGCATGATCTACGGATCTTCTTGAGAAAGGCGAGTGGAAGTTCGATTCGTGTTGATAATGGTTATTGCCCCCCCCCCCCTTTTTTTGTAGATGCAGTCTTTCAATGTCATATCTGCATATGATAAAGGCTGGTTAATGTTCTGACCCATGTGATTGCATCTGAATTTCCACCATGAGAATATGGCAAAGCTGTAGGAATAGGGTCATGCTTATTCCTCAAAGCACTGCCATTCTGGAGATATATGCCTTTTTTGCATCAAATCTGGAGACCGGGCATACGTTTGACACAAACTTGCACACTATATCTGCATAGAACAGAATGTCAGAATGACACATGTTATTTTGATGTTGGTATATGACGTTTATCGGGCGGGTTTTAGATTAGAGGGGCCTAGTCACCAGCTCTTTGATGCCTGTTGAAGCCACTGCAATTGTTGTTGCCAGACTAAAGCCGTTGCAATTTTTATTGGCAGATTCTTCTGGTATGGTCTATGCCTCCATGTACTTATCTTCCCTCTCCCCAGTTGTGCTCTGTTATTGGAGACATAGGTTAGTGGGGGAGAAAAAGAGGAAAAGTAAAACAAGGGGGCAGATGTATGTAAACTTCATTTGGTTGATGATTCACTCAGGAAACACCATTTTATAGTTCGCTCTGAGAGGTTCAATTAATGGATGGTGGATGCTATTTTAATTTCAGCATGGGTTGTGTTGTTTTCCTTCCAACTGCAATTAGGAAGAGGGGGCTTCATATCAAATTGGCCTTGGCTTCTATACTCCCCTTGTTAATTGATTAATTTGAAGTACAAGACTAAATTAACTGTGTTCCATATCGGTGGAGATAGTCATACAGAGCTTGGAAATCCCGAGTCCTTGTGACTTTCATCAATACATTTTGTTGGATATGTGTTCACTTGTGGCGTTATGGTTTCTTCATGGCTCCCGTTAACCATGCCATTGTTTGCTTATTTGTTGTCTTTTGTAAAATTTGCAAGTCCATTTGATGTTCTAATGTTCGAACAGGCTGTGAGACGATTTTCCCTCACCCTTTGTAAATTTTGCCAGTCCAACATTCGAAATTGGAATATATGCCCCCTTGCCTGGCGACTTCAATGGGGCATTGCAAGTTCTGTTACTACTTGTGCCACTATCGCGTACGATATCAAAGTTCTTTGCTTGGTTGTTTGAAGCGTGGCCTTGCAACCCTACTATGCAATCAAGAGCAAGAAACCGCTGCTCATCTCTTAACCTGTTCGCTTGCTCGTATACGACCGTGGATTATAAGCTGGAACAATATTTTACTCTCACACCAAACCAGCCAGTAGTAAATAATCCACGCTCGTTTACGACGAAACGAACAGGCTAGTTTGATGATTAGCTGCTGAGAGCAGGGCTGGACCTGAGTGGTGTGCAAGTTTGATGATTTAACTCCACTCTTGCTAGGGAAGAAAATGGGTTAAGAATGCTGCTTTGACTTGTGGCCAGGCTGAATTTCTTTCAATGCTATATGTTTTATTTAGTTATGGCTTCATGGAACTTGTGATTGATAAAGTCATCACATTCTATACTATATTCTTTATTTATGGGCCTACTAATCTTGTGATTGATAAAGTCATTACAGGTGGCAAGTCCTTAAGTTTTTCCATGCAATACACATACAATAGGTTCTTGGCCACTGCTTCTTCTTTCTTGAAAATGAAGGGGCACTGCTCGTATCCATCGTTCTGAAAAAGTCGTCTTCTTTCAGGTTGTGCTGTGCACAGATGGGCTGGTGGTGGTTTGTATCCACCACTACTATAAAAATAGATGTTGTAACGCATTGTAACTTACTTGCTATACACTACTATAACAATAGATGCTGTAACACTCTTGTAACTTGCTATACACGCTTGTAGCCATCAATGTGTTACATACAAGTTTCTAAAGGAGCACGAAACTATATCGAGCACGAAACTATATCGTTCATTGAGTATACGAAAGGACCTTTATGTCACTTAGAAATGGAGGTAAATAGGCCTTTCTAAAAATTGACAACAAACAAAATTTAGAGCGGATTAGTAGAGTGCGAGGCATTGCTGCTCTAATGCTGCAGTACTGCAGCACTGCCCCGCTCAAAATACAGCACTGCCATGCCCTTGCAGACAGCTCAACACAAGCTGCACCTAGAACTCAAACTTGGAGATATGCATGGAGATGTCCAGTGGCAAGCCCACTAAGTATCTGCACTCATAAACACGCACAACCAAGTAGATCGAGTGGAATACAAATAATGCAAATCAATACAAGAGAGAAGACACACGATTTATCCCATGGTTTAGCTCGTCACCAAAGATTGTTTATGTCCACGTTGCTGAGACAGCCACTAAAGCTTAGGCTTTGCAACCCTTATCCCCATTCTCAAGTCAAGAGAGTGAACTCTTAAGATGAGAGGTTTCCACTGGATCAATGGGGTAATTACAAACTTTCCTGCCGCTCACCACAAGCACGGGAGCTCGTCGGACGACGCCTAGCCGTCTAGGAGGCTTCACCTCTAAGAGTAACAAATGCACCACGAATACTTGACGTAGCCCAACAAGTGCTAAGGATTGGCTTAGTCTTAATTGCTCTTTAACACTTAATCAAACACTAATCACTCACTCTCATAAAGAGAGGGGTTAGAGAGAGCTCTCAAATGGCTTGGGAAGGGTTTGGAATAGTTGGAGCATCAGCAGCATCACCAGAAGGCATGAGATGAGTATATATAGACCCAATGCCAAAATTAGCCGTTGTAGTTCAAAAACTAGCCGTTATGACCTGTACAGGTGTGGCACTGCCGCTCCGACCTGCGGCACTGCCGTGGTGCAGCACTGCTGCAAAAATTCACGGCATTGCCGTAGCTCTAAAAAAACAGCATAGGTCACCTCACAAAAAAACGCCATAACTTTTTACTCTGAACTCCGTTTTCAGTGATCTGGGACTTTCCGGAAAGCTTGTTTCGAGGGCCATTCAGCCCAGCCAAGAACAAGCCTCAAGATCAGAAAGTGCAGGTGTTGTGCTAAGTGTTTTCTCTTATGTTAGCACTTGGATTTGGTTAGTTTGAGCACTTAAGACTTGTCTATGATTCGTATTGCATCCCCCCTTGATAGTACGACATACCTATACTCAAGATCAAGAGAATATAACCATTTCAACCACTTGAGTCTTCAATGTCTTCATATGCCATTTCTTCTCAAATCACTTCATAAGGGGTTGCAATCAACTTTGTCTCCTCTCTTTGAGCAATCACACCTTGAGCATGTGACTTGAACTATTTCTATACATATGAGTTCACCTCATGGCTTCAAGTCACTTCTACTAATGATTTGATCCTCAACACAACATGACTCCTCATAGCTCGATTAGTTCCTCAATTCAATGCAAGTACTCTCTTCTTCACCTTAGCCATGGTACCTCGGTCCTCAAGCTATTGCTTGCCCTTCACCTTCGCTTAGTTTCTCGAAGCCCTTTTCTTGCTATCTTCACCCTATCGAGCCATACTCAAGTCACATCATATTAAGCATCCATTGAAAAACCATTTCCTCAATATTATGATCCTTGCTTGAATATCTTCTAAATATGAATGTTGAGATCAATCAAGCTCCAGTTGGATTCACATAGATTGAGATATATGAATCAATATCAATATGATCAAGCTAATTCACAATTCCTTATATCCTCTTTATTCTGGCTTGACACTTATAACACACTTTAATATCTATCTTCATACTTCTAGCTTGATCAAATCAATGCAAAGTGATTTTTTAAATCTTTATCCATACA